TAAACATATAATATATATATTCAAATCATGTAAATCACAGCAGCTTACAGTGTAACTATGATTTGAAAGATAAGACTTGACTTGATGTAAAATCACCATACTGACTTCTTCTCCCTTCAAGGTGCAACTGCGACTGATTTCACAATGAACAGGATAAAGTTTTGTTTTATTGGTAAGATTAAAAGACACATACAGTTTTTGATAATGTTTCATATCCATGTATGATTGTATCATTTAACATTGTAGAATTTTCAAGATGCCTTTATGCCACTAGGGTCAAAAGATGAGAGGCTTTCAAATTAACAACATCAACATAGATTTGTTCAGGAATTTGAAGAATCTGGGATTCTCGGATGATGAAATAGCAAGCATTTTTAAATATTATATCGGAGAGGACAGTGATATTTTACTATTTTGGTTTCTTTTTTCCAAAACTTAAAACATTTCTTTATTTCAGTCCTCACTCTAATAAACAGAGCCACAACCACAACTCCCATGGCAACTACAACAACACAATCAGCTTCCACAGCAACCACGTCTGGGTCAATGTTATTTGGTTCTACCAACTCACTTAGTGGTTCTAGAGTGACATCTTCAGGAACAAGTTCAGTATCAACAACAAATCCTGTAGACCCTACAGCAACTGGTTCCACAGCATCAAATGCACCATCCACTACAACACCCGGTGCTTCGGCAGCCATCACTAACATAACGACAACCCATGTTAGTTCAGCGGCAACAAATGCTGCTTCCACTGCAACATCTCCTAATACAACTTTAACTGCTACACCTGAGCTGGCAGACTCAACAGCAGATCCCACTGGAGAAGAGGGGTCACTGCAATTAGGATTCAGAATGGCGCTTTCCTTCATAAGTGACTATTCAGACTCTTCCACTGCAGCATTCAAGAATCTGGCAGCAAATGTTTCTGCAGAGGTACGATGTTTGTATTTCTTGGTAAATTTGGACAAGATCATTTCATTGGCTCCACTGAGTTAAAGGTCAATATGACATTGGTACATACATTTTTTGGATTGAAAGGAATTACATACAGCCATTGATTCTTGAAGAATCTAACTCATAAATGTCTCACGTTCAACTGTCATACCCCATCAGAAACCAACATAAAAGCTTGTTTTACTCTATTATTTGTAAACAACGTTATTGTAAATAAGCACTCTATAACTTCAAAACATGGTTAAAACTATCATTTTGATCTCATGGATGGTCAGTCCTTGCATCCATAGCTCTGTCTATGAATTTGAGAGTTGTTACATTTCTTCAGTTCCATCCCTCAGCTGTTTATTTTTTTTTTTTACCGGCTTACTCCTTATTATTTAAATATTACAATTATTTGTTTTGTTCTTCTGTCAGGTGAATCGTGGGTACAGGACAATCTATCCCATTACGTACAAAAGATGTCGCGTCAATACATTCTCGTAAGTACAAACTTGTTTCTATTTTTAATCTGATATGCATGACTCCTTTACATAAATCATTTACAATACTGTTGTACTTTACCTTTGAAAATTACTTTTATTTTATAATACAGGAGCGGTTCAGTGATAGTCAACATGACTCTAATATTCAACAACAACACAGTGGTTCCCGATACAACCAGCGCAGAGCAGGCATTTACTGAAGTTCTGTCCAAGGGCAGCACCTCCCTTTCAGTTGAAATGGCATCCATCATTGCAAGTAAGCCATATTTGTTTTGTCATTGTCATCAGTGTCATGAATAAAGATGTTCTCTGCACATCTAGTAAACATATTTAGAACATAATTCAAAAGGAGCACACATAAACAGCTTGCTTGCAACATTTCAATGTATATTTCATAAAATATTCAAAGGTTAATTTGTTGAATGCCATATCTCTGGTTTTATAGAGTTAACTCCTACTACAACAGCTTCACCCTCAAACACACCAGGAGTAACTTCAGTATCAGCAACCGTTGCTAGTTCCAAAATATTAAATACTGATTCTACTTCAACAGCAATAACTCCCACGTCATCAACGGGAACAACAATAGCAGGATCAACACCTTCTGTCATCAGTTTGGCAACAATTGCAGGATCAACACCCCCAGTTAGCTCAACAGGAACAACTGAAGGAGTAACACTACTCATAAGTTCTACAGGAACAACTGAAGGATCAACACTCCCAGTTAGTTCCATAGCAACAAATGTAGGGTCAAAAACACCTGTCAGCACTTTGGCAACAACTGCAGGATCAACATCCATCGTCAGAACAACCACAGCTGCTCCCACAATCCAAACAGCTGCCGAAACTACAACTAAAGACTTAACAGCAGCACCCACAGGAAACGAGGGGTCACTGGGATTACGATTCAGAATTATCATCAGATTCCTAAATAACTATTTGGACACTTCCACAACTGCGTATCAGGAATTGTCAGCAAATGTGACCAAAGAGGTGAGCAACCATTCTATATTTGAACAAGAATGTGTCAGTAGTTTCACAGTTGAAATATAGGATGGAGTTATTGACACTAATTAACTATTTTTGTTTTAGGTGAATCGTGTATACAGAAAAAAATATCCTTTGTCCTACCTAAGGTGTAGGATCATTAATTTCTCGTAAGTTACTAATGATTGTATAACTGTGTATCTATACTCTAATAGCGTTACTTAAACAACATTAATATGATGATATAAAAGTTGACTAAGAGAGATGTAAAATAATATTTCTGTGAATTCTCATATGTATGTAAAATAAATCATTAAATGAATGAAAATGTTTCAGAAACAATTGTTCAAGCACCTCACTTGAAAAGGAATACTATGTATTTCTTTGTCTATATCATCATTTTTTACAGGAGTGGTTCAGGGATTGTCAACATTAAACTTATCTTCAAGAGCCAGAGTGTGGTTCCAAATGCAACCAGTGCAGCACAGGGATTTATTGACTCTCTGTCTCAGGGGAAGATCTTCCTCACTGTATATAAAAAACCCATTCCTGCAAGTAAGTAATGCCATCATTGCTGACCTTGTTGTCATTGTCATCACTTTCAACATTGACCCATGGCACATTAATATTGGGTTAATTGTTATTACTTAACTTCTGTGGTTTTACAGGGACAACAACTACAATTTCAGCTGCTACAACCACCACAGTTGCCACAACTACCAAAGCCGCAGTTAGAAGTACAGCTTCATCTACAACAACAGCTGCGGCTACAACAACCACAGCCTCCCACACAACAACCACAGCCGCCTCCACAACAACTAAAGTGGCTCCCACAACAACAACAGCTACTCCCACATCAACCACAGCTGCTCCCACAATAACTAAAGCTGCACCATCAACAACAACAGCTGCACCTACAACAACCACAGCTTCTGCCACAACAACAACAGCTCCACCAACAACAACCACAGCTGTACCTACAACAACCACAGCTGGTGCAACGACAACAACAGCTACTCCCACATCAAACACATCTGCTTCCACAATAACTACAGCTGCACCAACTATAACCACAGCTGCACCAACAACAACCAAAGCTGCATCTACAACAACCACAGCTTCTGCCACAACAACAACAGCTCCACCTACAACAACAACAGCTGCTGCCATGACAACAACAGCTCCACCAACAACAAACACAGCTGTCCCTACAACAACCACAGCTGGTGCAACTACAACAACAGCTACTCCCACATCAAACACAGCTGCTCCCACAATAACTACAGCTGAACCAACTACAACCACAGGTGCACCCACAACAACAACAGGCGCAGCTACAACAAACACAGCTGTACCCACAACAACCACAGCTGCACCCACAACAACCACAACTGCACAAACAACAACCACAGCCGCAGCTTCAACAACCACAGCTGCACAATCAACAACCACAGCTGCACAAAGAACAACCACAGTTGTAGGTATGACAACAACAGCTATTCCCACAACAACAACAGCGGCTCTCACAACAACAACAGCTGTGGCTACAACATTCACAGCGGCACCTACGACTACCACTGCTAATGCCATGACAACAACGGCTACTACCATATCAACCACAGCTGCTCCCTCAATAACCACAGTTGCACCAACTACAACCACAGCTGCACCCTCAACAACCACAGGCGCAGCTAAAACAACTACAGCTGCACCTAAAACAACCACAGCTGCACTAACAACAACCACAGCCGCAGCTATAACTACAGCTGCTGCCATGACAACAACAGCTACTCCCACAACAACCACAGCTGTACCAACAACAAACACAGATAATGCAACGACAATCATAGTTGTTTCCACTACCACCACAGCTGCTCCTACAACAACAACAGTCGCACCACCAACAACTACATTTTCTCCCACAAGCACCAAAGCCGCCACAACCACAACTACAGACTCAACAGCAGCACCGACAGCAAATGAGGGGTCACTGGGATTAAGATTCAGAATGTTCCGTGCATTCCTAAGTGACTATTTGGACTATTCCACAACCTCATATCAGGAATTGGCAGCAAATGTGACCACAGAGGTGAGCAACCCTTCCTTCATTGAACAAGAATGTGTCAGTGGTTTCACAGTTGAAATATAGGATGGAATTATTGACACTAATGTACTATTTTTTTTCTTCAGGTGAATCGTGGATACAGAATAATATATCCTATCACCTACCTAAGGTGTAGGATCATTAAATTTTCGTAAGTTATTACATTTACATTACATCATTTAGCAGACGCTCTTATCCAGAGCGACTTACAAATTGGTGCTAGTGATTGTATAACCCTGTATCTATACTCTAATAGCATTACTTAAACAACATTGATATGATGATATAAAAGTTGAATAATAGAGATGTAAAACAATATTTCTGTGAATTATCATCTGTAATTAAAACAAGTCATTGAATGAATAAAATTGTATCGCAAATAACTGTTCAAGCACCTCTCCTGAAAAGGAATACTACATGTCTTTGTCTGTATCTTTTTCAACAGGAGTGGCTCAGTGATTGTCAACATGACACTTATTTTCAAGAATCAGACTGTGGTTCCAAATGCAACCAGTGCAGAGCAGGGATTGACTGACTCTCTGTCACAAGGGAACACCTTCCTCGACGTTGATACAACCTCCATTACTGCAAGTAAGTAAAGTGATCATTGCGGACCTTGTTGTCTTTGTCATCACATTCAACATTGAAACATGGCACGCTAATATTGGGTACATTTTCATAAGTTCACTTCTGTGGTGTTACAGTGACTACTACCATTTCAGCTGCTATAACCACCACAGTTGAAGCAACTACCACAGCTCCCAAAACAACCAAAGCTTCACCCACAACAACCACATCTGCTTCAACAACAACCACAGCTACCGCCGCGACATCCACCTCAACCATAGCAGCCGCCACAACAAACACAGCTACACCAACTACAAAAACAGCCGCAGCTGCAAGCACATTTTCACAAGCAACAACTACAGGTTCTTCTTCAACAACCACAACATACCCCACAACAACCACAGTCTCTCCCACAACAACCACATCTGCACCCACAATAACAACAGCTGGTGCCACAATAACAACAGCTACCCCCACATCAATCACAGCTGCTCTCACATTAACTACAGTTTCACCCAAAACATCAACAACTACAGGTAAAACATCCACAGCTGCACCTACAACAATCACAGCCGCACCAATATCAACCACAGCCGAAGGAACATCAACCAAAGTTACAGACACAACAACCACAGCTGCACCAACGACAGCCATGGGTAAGACAACAACAGCTACACCCACAACAACCACAGCTGCTCCCACAACAACCACAGCTGCTGATACAGCAACAGCTCGTACTACAATAACCACATATGCCCCCACAACGACCACATTCCCTGCCACGACAAACACAGCTGCACCTAAAACAACCACAGCTGCAGCCACTACAACAACAGCTCCACCAACAACAACTAAACATGTACCTACAACAACCACAGCTGCTGCCACCACAACAACCGCTCCTACCATATCAACCACAGCTGCTCCCACAACAACCACAGCTGCTGCTACAGCAACAGCTGGTACTACAATAACCACAGCTGCCCCCACAACAACCACATTCCCTGCCACGACAAACACAGCTGCACCTACAACAACCACAGCTGCAGCCACTACAACAACAGCTCCACCAACAACAACCACAAATGTACCTACAACAACCACAGCTGCTGCCACCACAACAACAGCTCCTACCACATCAACCACAGCTGATCCCACAATAACTAAAGCTGCACCATCAACAACCACAGCTGCACCAACAACAACCACAGCCCAACCTACAACAACCACAGCTGCTGCCACGACAACAACAGCTCCACAAACAACAACCACAGCTGTACCTACAACA